CTGGCCAAGAAATTGTATGAGATTTTTATATCTCCCTCGTGCGTGGTAAATTAATACGATATTTTTTATCTGAATCATCGAGTTGCAGTGAGTGTCCTGGCATTTCAGTTAACGTTTCCCCTTCAGCTAACTGTGTAGCGTTTCTCAACTGCTGTCAGCATCAATTAACAAGTCTCGGTAAGGTCAAGGGCTCTGTTTGACTCTTTGAATCCATGTCCACACACTCAGTTGTATTCCGAGGCGTCGTTCTATCGGTTGCCGAGCAACTGAGAAACTGATAGTCGTTCAGCAGATCAGAAAATGTCCGCACATGTCCTTGAACTTTATTTAATTCTCATTATAAACAGCGATTATTTCCTTAAACAGCGTTAACCAGTTGATCTTCGTAATGGTAAAGTGTTGTGTTTTCTTCGCGGTACGGACTGAATTATTAAATACTATTTAGATACCTGGGTTTCATGCGATTCTCATTATAAACAGCGATTATTTCCTTAAACAGCGTTAACCAGTTGATCTACGTAATGGTGAAGTGTTGTGTTTTCTTCGCGGTACGGACTGAATTCTTAAATATTATTTAGATACCTGGGTTTCGTGCGATTCTCATTATAAACAGCGATTATTTCCTTAAACAGCGTTAACCAGTTGATCTACGTAATGGTGAAGTGTAGTGTTTTCTTCGCGGTACGGACCGAATTCTTTAAATATCATTTAGACGATGTGCGGCTTCAAGGGGTTACTTTTATATAATTACATTTTTGGAGATTAAATACTCTAAAATAAATCCAATCCAGTCTGCTCTCAGTTTCCTGATGAATGCAATTTTGATTTGCTACTGTCATCCCAAAATTTTAAATTCTCAACACTTCTAAATGAGTTATTATCTACCGATACCTAAATATTATGGCACTTTCATAAAATCTATTTTAATACATTTCCTCCATGTACTGCAAAGAGCATTTTGGTATGACGATTAACACTTGAAGTTATGCATGGGACGTAGTACCTCTTCAGAATTCTGGTCGGCTACAAGTTATCGTGATTGGAGATTTTCGTTCTTAACTTACGGTCACTTCTCGCTTAGTGGCACTTGATTACGTATCGAAAAAGAACTCCAATTATATCGTTGTCTTTTCAAAAAAAAAAGACTCTGAGTGCTGTAAAGGACCTTTTGGTCCTAAAGGCTTTGAGGATCCCAGGTTCAAAAAACTCTAATTTAGTTCAGGTCCTTTATTTCTTCAGTAAAATCACTTACTTTTACAGGTCAGCAAATGCCGATAGCAAACGTTTTCCTGTCATGAGCACGTTTTAGCAAAGAAGAGTATTAAAGTTAAAGGTAAAGAACTAGACGATTTGGTACGTCAGACTAAACTCTGTCTGAAACATGAAGGTGGCTACCCAATTTCTTGTATAGCCAAAGTCTCGTCTGTTTAACGAGATCTCACGTTTGGCGTACCTATGTTTTAAAAATTTCATGCCAACTGTGTAAGACTTGAGGTTCTCACAGCGGTGAGTATGAAGATATCCGTCTTCTGGGTTATCGCCCTGATGACGGAGGCAGTATGACCTCTGAAACGTTGGTTAACATCGACCAGACTACACAGCGCAATAACCCAGAAGACGGATATTTTCATGCCAACTCTCACAAGATCACAGACATTTATATTTGCGATTAATACCGTTATAAGCTGCTTTTCAATTTAAAAACCTTCATATAAGAGAATCTACTATAAGTACTCGAGATTAAAGAAAAACAACATGTATGTTGTTCGTTTTAATTTATAATGAGCATTGCACAGTTGAATATATGTTTGTTTCCCTGTTATTTTGGCAGCACTGCTATTGTCTGCTGCCCTCCACTGTGGAAGGAAAAGCTGTCATTTACAGAAAATATACACAGACAAACTTTTGAGGGCGTGCAGACTTCCTCGCGCAATTCTAAGCTGCTTTGTGTTTCGCCATCAGATATTGTTTCTGGATGAGATTTGAGTAAATGCAAATGGGAGTGAATCAAAAATGTGGAGTTATGTCACTAGCCAGTCTCTTAAGAAGAGAATTCCAATAACAAATACCAGGTAAATTATCTTGGATCCTGCCAACACGTCAAGAAAGAGGTGAGACGGTCTCATTAATAGTAGCTTCGTCTCTGAACAGATTGTTGATGATGTACGAGTTGGAGTTTTTCCTTGCTTCATTCGGCACAATTTGTCTTTACGTAAATATTTAATTCTATGTCTGTCCGTTCTGAATCTTGTAAGTTTCTGTAAATGTGCCTTACTGTGTAAATAAAAGAATGAGGAATATTTAAATTCTTTCGTATTATGGAGTTAGTCTGTGTAGCAATGGTTGCAAACGTGTGTTACCTAATATTCTGTGACAGGTTTAAAACTGATGAATTGATTGAAGAACGTGGACACCAATTTTTACATTTCAATCCTATTGAACTGCTAGGGTCAGAAGTTAAAATGGGTTATTAATGGAAGCTTTGCAAAAGGTGTGGTTAGAATAATTTGAGCAGGTTTGATCTCTTTATTGAGTGACTGCGATATGAAATTCATTCTGTTATAAATCTTTTAGAATTTTGGTACAAACGCAATTTCTAAACCAGCATTGTGGGAAAATTATGTATCGCGTACAGAGAATCCGATGAAGGAGATCTGGAAACATTAACTTGTACAGAAAATGGGGAACCTGTGCATCGTCTTATTACCAGCCTCGAAGAGACCTCTGGAACTTGTACAGAAAATGAGGAACCTGTGCATACTCTTATTACCAGCCTCGAAGAGACCTCTGAGAAGGAAAATGATTCAGAAATATTGTAAGCATTAATCCGTAACTAAAGCTGGTTCGATTGGAAATAATGCCATCAGATTATGGACACGTCTGGTGGTCTGTGACGTTTTTATCATGAGACAGTTTATATAACAAACATGACACCGCCTTGTCTTTGGAACAGATATCTTGCATGAAACTGCAAGAATGTTAAGTGTTATTTGTGTGTAGTATTCTACAATATTCATAATTTATTTAATTCCTTTTTTCTCTTGAGACTGTGGTAGATATTAAAGAAACATTTTGATTTGTGACTTATGTAGTTTCAGAATTACAGTTCAGGTCATCGTATCTTCCTCTTGTGTTGTGTCTCGTAAAACCTTACATGTATTTATTGCAATATATTTTGAGATTTAAATATATTGCGTACTCCATAGTGTCATTTTTTTTTTGAGTGTGGAAAACGCCATTCGGTGTTACATAAAGCAAAGGAGACTGTGTTTCAAACACCAATTCGTCCTGTCCTGAGTAAAATTTGTCTGGGACTACTGTCGTTGCTGGGGGCTACATAACACAGCTACCGCTTACTCAACAGCACTTTGTAACTACACTGGGATTGGGGTAACCTCGGGTAAAAAAATGTGGAAAATAAGATAAAAATCTGTCACCTGTCCCGACTGAAGTTTCCATGATTTTCCTCATAACCTCCTGACAAATAGCAGGTTAATATCCTAACACTTTTCCTCTCTATGTCCCCCGATTAATAATTGACGAACACCAGACAGTGTCTTATCCGACACCCTCAGCCTCAGGATGATCCTGAGAATAGTAATGAAATTAGTCGGGATACGTTGGGCGACCAGAGTTAGAATCACGGTTGACTTTTCTCTTCGTGTCCGGAATGGATGTGTTCGGCACACACTCCTATCCAGTGACTAAGGGCGGAATTTTCCGCGTGGATTTAGCGGCCATATCGTTAAACTGGACGTTTTCCGAACACAACTTTCTACCGACATCATGAATATTAATGCCTTCCTTAACTGCATGTCAGCACAGCTAAGCCTCGCAGATGAGATTTCAGGTTCTTACGGCAGCGAGAATGAAGATGAATGTCTTCTGGGGATGTTTCGCCGTGTAATCTGGCAAACTTCTACCGGACGACGCAATTTCCCAGAAGACAGTCATCTTGAAACCCCTATATTCCACTATTATAACTACCGGATGACGTATCAATTACAGATTGTCACGTTATGTAATTCTGCGTTACTCTTTCATTCTTATTAATTCGTCTTGCCTGAATCTATTGAGACGATGTAATTTGTGGCCTGCCCGCTCGAAGTAAGAGATCACATTTAACAGTCATACAAAACAACAGGCAAAATCTACTTTTGGTAAGTGTACGGGATGTAATACTTTGTTGTACTGAGTAATAAGAACATTTGCGTCTATTTATTATTATTCTAATTTTATCACGAAGCTCGATTTTAATTCTTCACAGACACTTAAATTTTAAAAACATTATCAGATCAAAAGTTACGTTTTTTTTTGCTGATTGTGGTTTCTCGTGTCTTATTAATGTCCTGTTTCGTTTTAATTATCTACTTAGGGATTATTTTCTGCCCCTCAGTTAACGTCATGAGACACTGAAACGTGTCGTTTATAAAAATTAGGATTCTGTATAGGCTCTTAAGTATCCTAGTCGGTAATTCCTCCAAAAACCACAGTTTTTAAGCAAGAAATTTTGTATTTGAAGCTGTATGACGAAGTATCCCATGCCTTCGTCACCGTAGTAGTAATGGCCAAGTACTTCACGTGCATTTATTTGAAAAGATCCTCGCTGATTGTTCACGGAAACTCGCTTATCAACACTCATCAAGATATATCAACTGCCGTAGTTTATGTGTGTTAACTGAATTTCAAATTCAACTGAATGTGTGTAGTGTGTGTACCTTTCGCTCTGCACAAAGCATTGGTAAGACACTCAGCCAACAGACATGTATTATAAATTTATATTACAGTATCCTGATGTCACATCTGTGTGCACAGACAACAGAAAACTCAATAATAAAACTTCAAAAATACTACAACGTTTAACAGTGAACAACACGACAGAACTATCAACTCGGACTTCACCACTGAAGGAAGTGTCAAAGTAACTACGCCCCCTTCAGCTACTGACGACTTGCTGACGGAAATAATAAAAGAACAGGCCTGACCTGGTTTTCATTTACCTGTAGTGACCATCTGACAAGGTTGCCATTCATCAGCTCGACCTGCCGTGACACCATCACTGCCACAGAACACACACCGACACAGCAGTAAGACAAGTGAGGAGCGGACCGCGGATAGCCATGACACAGAGGTTCCAGGACTGCTGGGACAATGGCCAACACCGACACTGTATCCCCTCCCGTTCCCGCCCCCGGCCGTCTCGTGAGCATCAAAACCCCTGCGTGGATCGATAGGCAACCACGCAACATCAGGACGTCGTCGTCGTCGTAGTTGCAGAGTTCCTCTGCTTTTCAGCCATTTCGCGCTCCGCCCCGACGACTGACGTCATCGGCGTACTCGCTTATTGCAGTGATCGTACACATCGATGTGAAAAAAAAAATTATGAAAGGTTTACTCCGGCAATTTGTTTCGTGAAACAACGGCCCGGGTGGTCCGATATACAAATCGCGTTACGCGACGAACAAGCGTGGGTTGTTTTCCGGAGGGACGATCATTACTGAGCCCACCACTGGACTATCCTGAGCCAGATGAATCCAGTCCGCCCCCTAGCATCATATTTGTATAAAATGTCGTACTTACCTCTGTCCCCAAAAAAAAACCCCTTCAAAATGTACGTAATTATCATCTCTCCCATACGTGCTTCATGCCTCGCCCATCCCATTCACCTAAAGATATTTGAACAGTACAAAATAAAAATAAAAACATTAGATGCACCGTCCGGTGGTATGGCAGGTCTCTGTTCGTATCCATCTCGTCCAGAATCGTCCGCTTTACGTAGTCACACACGTTATCAGCGACGGGAGGCTGTAACTCTGTCGTAATCTGTTCTGAGTTTCGTCCAGTTTTCACTGCAGAAGTGGGCGGTTCGCGTACAGACAGAGAAGTGGCCTGTTTTCGACACTCGGCGGAAAGAGACCAGCTTTGTATTCGGTGTCGCCAAAATGTCTACAAATCAGAGGACTGAATTATTTTTTTTCTTCAAAAGGTGCGTTGCAGTTTGTGTCAGCGCCTTTGATGGATGCTGGAATACGTAATGGCTTGATGCTGAGTGCTTAAGAAATGTGTGTGAAAATTGTGCTGATTGGACGTGACAATGAAGAGACGAACAAATGGTTCCTTCAAAGCCATGGATTTTGTATCTGTTGCGGTCTTTGAAGTTGCTGTACGAGGAGGACTCGCGGCAGAAATTCTTCTCGGCCCCTTTTTACTAGACTTCCCACAATGATATACTGCCCGACGGGCTGCATACGTACATGGCGTTACTCATGCTAGCTCCTGAGACGCTAAGCAGCGAACACATCTGTTTATGTTAACGGTAATGCGAGTGGCTTTGAAGCATTTGGAAGGCGTCGTCTTCGTCGTGGTATAAATTAAATGAAGGCGTCTTTAACAGACTGAAAATTTATCTTCAAATATTTACGTGGGGTTACAAATCATAAGACGGCAATCTTCAGACTCAACGCCGTGAAAACCTCAAATCCTACAATAAAAAAAAAATCAGAATTTTTGCAGGGGGGGAGGGGGGCCGTGTTTTATAATCTGATCTTATTAATAGAATTTTTGCAGGGTAGGAGGGGAGCCGTGTTTTATAATCTGATCTTATTAAGAATTTGGCTGCATGTGGCGACTTGAATTTTGATGTCATTTCACACGCAACAACATAAAGAAATACTTTATATCTTAATTGCGTCATGTTTGTGTTTTATTGATACAATATTTTTTTATTTTCCGTCTATACACAAACTTAAAATAATGTTGTTTAAAATTACTTAAAATTATAACATTCTCAGTAGATACTGCATCTTGTTACATTTTTTGTATCGACGACATGTTTCAATGTGTATATAATTTTAAGTAATTTTAAACAACATTATTTTAAGTTTGGGTATAGACGGAAAATAAAAAATATTGTATAAAGAAATACGTTTCTTAAGTCTGCTCTGATACAAAAACTAGCTAACTCTATGGACGAAATTCTTTGTTGGGAATCTGGCAGTTGCTCAGCTAACCCCTTTCACCGTATATTATCGTTGCTGAAGGTTAGTTTCGTTGCTCACAGAAATCCGCCACCGATCCTCACCCTGAGCCAGATTATTCCAATTCACACATTCGCATCATATTTCATCAACATCCGCTTAGTTTGATTTTATAACAGATATAATCGCGCGTTTCTCCATTCATGGCAGTTCAAAATTTTATGTCCAGTTTGTGAAAAAATAAATGTGTCCTTACAAGCGCATATAAAATTAAGTTTCGTCCATGCTTTGTTTATTTTACCCGCGCTGTGACTGCTCGACGATTCCTTGTCATTAAGCTCGCTGCTTAGTTAAGTTCTCTTAAATCGTCAGTCAAGCAATTACGAGATGTTTAATGAAGTACTGATAATCTGTGACGCGCGTGCCTTCTCGCTAAATTCTGCTGTTCCCTGTCGTCTTTTGGCTCATTCTGTCTTCTCTGTCTATTTTAAGGAGTTCAGTTATTGGATTTCTCGAGTGAACGTTTATACATCTGTGTTCAACACGAACTGTCACAGACTTCGACCTTATCCCATCATATATTTATCATTTATATATTTTTGTGTGCGGAATGTATTATACACTTTCCGTAGTAAGGGTACACGTGATATTTTGTGTGGGTGTGAACCTTGATCCATCACGTTAAAAAATAATACAGGGTGTTCCAGAATAGGGTGTTGGTCTAGCAGAGTGTTTGCGCCTAAAAGGAAGAGACAGGATGTTCGAGAAAAGTAAACGTCGAAATTTATAATTTGTGCTCTTCAGCAAATAAGAGCGATCAGATCAAGGAGGATGAGATGGGCGGGGAACGTAGCACGCATTAAAGGGATACGAAATGCATTCATAAATGAAGTCAGATAACGTGGTTACTTGGAAGACCTGAGCGTGGATGGAAGGATAATATTAAAATCGTCGGGAAAAAGACTTATATGGGAATGTGGATTGGATTAATCTGCCTCAGGATAGGGTCCAGTGCTCATTTCTTGCGAATACGGTTTTAAGATTCCGGGTTCCATAAAAGGCAAAATAATTCCTTGAAGACGGCTGGGTTCTGATGTTGGAGGCAGCAAGGACCTCTGAAACGTCGATAAGCAACCAGACTACATGGCGCTGTAACGTACGACAGCCATCTTCATATTCGCCGCCTTCGGGACCTGAAATCCTACAGGGAATTTGATTATCTGAGCCACTATCAGATTATCCAGAAGAACTCGGATATATTTTGTTGTAGTTGGTCTACGCCGTCGACGTTCTGCTTTAGCTCTGGAAATCGCTGTTCACGGTGTCACTCAAGGTGTGAACGTCATTGAATGGACTCACGGTTACGCCGTCCGTGTTTTGATCCTCGCATCAGGCAGGTAGCACGTGGGTGGGAGATCGGTCTTCTCGGGGGTAATCGGACGTAATTGGCTGTAATGAAACACCACCCCCGCCCCGTTCTCAGTGACTTAAGCGGTATCTAGCGGATCACAATTGGTGTAACGAACTGAAATTCGCTTTGCTTAGTGTCATGATAGATGACAGCTGCTACAATTATCTATGAGTGAGGACGATAATTATCTTCATTGCCATTTAATAGAACGAAAAAAGAAAAGAAACGCACTTTGGTGACAGCCTACTGTGCGTCATAGGCTACTTCTTCGCCACTGATGTACCACGTTTAGAACCCAAAGACATCGTTGGGGTAAAATTACAGCCAGCAGAAATTTTTTTTCCCCAGGGAACAGTGGTACTTAATATGTACCACCGGCTCTCATAAATTTATAAAATGCGTCACGTAATATCACGAAATGTCCAGCTACCCTTCAGGCCCCAGCGTTAAAACAAAGAAACGACTTAACAAAGGCTTCCTGGAAGAGAAAGCTATTTTTACAAAGCAACCAAAACATGCACTGAGTTCTCACCCCTGTCAAAATGTCATCTTCATGACAGCGAGGCCGCATAAGAATTTATCCCTCAAAGGCAAAAGATCTTATATCTCGAGCATTTGTGCTACTGTGGTAGCAGTTCTGCCGTGTAGCTGCCAAGTTTCACCAGCCTATGGCTAACTAACTAACTAACTAGGTGGCTTACGGAACCCGAAGGTTCATCACGAATTAACCAAAACCCTCCACCGGTCCCTGTCCTGGGCCAACAAAATCCAGTCTCCTTCAACTCCTATCTCCCATAGATCCCGCCTGAGATTATCCTCCCATCTACGTCTAGGTCTCTCTTCCCCTCAGGCTTCCCAAATAGTGGACCCAACCAACTAGATGGCTTACCGAACCCAAAGGTTCATCACCGAATTAACCAAAGCCCTGGGCCAACAAAATCCAGTCTCCTTCAACTCCTATCTCCCATAGATCCCGCCTGAGATTATCCTCCCATCTACGTCTAGGTCTCTCTTCCCCTCAGGCTTCCCAAATAGTGGACCCAACCAAACAGATGGCTTACAGAACCCGAAGGTTCATCACCAAACTAACCAAAGCCCTCCACCGGTCCCTGTCCTGGGCCAACAAAATCCAGTCTCCTTCAACGCCTATCTCCGATAGATCCCGCCTGAGATTATCCTCCCATCTACGTCTAGGTCTCCCCAGCGGTCTCTTCCCCTCAGGCTTCCCA